CTGTAGGAAAATCAATAAAAGTTGGCGCGCACGTCATCTAAATATTTGACGAATACACGTCACAATGTTGCCACTGCTACTTTTTTTATTTTGACTTTTTATCGGCTATTATGAAACACTTTATATGAAAAATATTTTATAGGGTTACAAGACTGTAATATTTAAATATTCTTTTATTAGATTGAAAGAAACTGATAAAAAAGTCTATAAATGTGCCATATGTGGCTTTCAAACGCTACATAAGACAAGTCTTCACAATCACAAGAAAACTCATTTAGCACCGGAAGAACGAAAGTTATTTGCTTGTATACACTGTGACAAGAAATATACAACAAAACACAACTTACATCATCACATTGAGGATAATCATATTGATTCCAGGTAAATTTATTTTTTGTAATACATTGCTCCTATACGTTCTCTGATCAAATTAAAATTAAAGTACTAAAAAAATTGATTTTAGGTCAAAGAATCCGCAGGAAAATATCCATAAATGTTCCATTTGCGGCTACCAAACACGACATGTGGCTTACTTTAGACAACACCAGAACATTCATTTGACACTAGAAGAACGACAGACGTTTGCTTGTGCGCATTGTGGCAAGAAGTTTACACAAAAAACACACTTAAGATATCACATTGAACGTAATATTTGTATTGATTCCAGGTAAATTTATTTTTAAGATAAGAATTACTTCCAAATCATAGGCGTATCTCGATTTTTGGCGATTTTGAGATATCAACGTCATGACATGTTCATTGGGTAATTTTTTAACATAGCGAATTTGTGCATCTCAATATTATACCTTTTTTATTTTATATTCGTTTAAAAATGTGCCCCACCTCAAATACTAGAATTCTTCGTTCTGACGAAGAGACGTAAGTTGAGATAGGGCTCTTTGTTATGTCTATTGTTATACCCTAGATCATATATACTTACGTGGATAAGTAAATTACTATGGAAACTGTCGCAAACATATCAACGACTTCCATTTATCTTCTTTTTTTGTTGCACACGCGGTGCTTCTACTCTATCTATCCTTGTCGGGGACCTATCGTCCGCGCGCCAAATTTGAACATTAATTTTAAAAATTAAATTTGTAAAATGCTTATATTTGAACAATAAATTGAATGTTTATTGTCACAAAAATTAAATTATCTAAAAAATACATTTAGCCACTCCGTACGAATATCAATATTCTTAGGAAATCTAAGCAGAAAGTATGCATGTGGCTTAATATAAATAAAAGAACAACTGAATAATTTACTTGCCTATGAAAAGATAATTGGAGTATTTAGAAAGTCAAACGAAAAAAGAAATAGAAATATAATTGCACAAATTTAAAATTAACTTCTCACTGAACACACTTGCATCAGAATTTAGAATGAGTGGGAGGGGGGTTAATCACTTCGACCTTAGAGATCCATTGTGTCCCCCTTTCTTGAATCATAACTCTTCATACAGTCCCAGGGCTTTGACAAAAGCCAGTATTTGGGACGGTTTTATAGAGGGTAGTTCTCCATCTCCAATATCAGTCGTACCAAAGTTCACGGCACGAATGGTTGTCGTCTCGGCGCACTCAATAATGAGGTGTACTGGTGTTTCCCCATTTTCCCCACAGAATCTGCATTCGCCCTTTCTTCTTAGTTTCAATCTACTGAGGTGTTCATTGAGGAGACAGTGTCCTGTTAAAAACCGCGTGACAATCCGAAGATTGTTCTTACTTAAACCCAGGAAGATCTGTGATTTTTCTTGATCATAAGCCCTTAGAAACTTCTTCGAGTATCTTAGACCGTTGCAAGATTCCCATTCCAGGTTGCGGACGGAATCTTCCAAGTTCTTGAGTTCCGCCTTGAGTTGGTAACCACTTGGAAAGCAGAACGGTTCTGGTCCAGTTAGTGAAGTGTTCGCTCCTTTTCTAGCTAGATCATTTGCATTTTCATTGCCTTCTATCCCTTGGTGAGCAGGCACCTAGAGTAGGAGGACTTTGTTTTTTTTACCTAATTTATTTAGCTTCTCTATGCATTCTTTGACCAATTTCGAGTTGATTGATACTGAGTTGATCGCTTTTAACGCTGCTTGACTATCAGATAAGATGGCTATTTCTTGTTTCCGATAGTTCCTATCTAAGATAAGTTGTACGCATCTTTCGATAGCGTAGATTTCTGCCTGTAGGATGCTAGGGAAGTGCCCATTGGTTCGGAGTAATTAGCTCTCGGCCCAATCACTCCGATCCCTGTTCCCGTATTGGTTTTGGAAGCATCAGTATACCAAGTTATGGTATGATCTTTTAACTGCTGGGCAAGCGTTTCGCTCTTCCAATCCTTCTTATTGCTCAATACTACATTGACATGTTTGTCAAAGTTGTACGTTCTTGGCATATCGTCCACTGGGAGTTGCAGGAGTGGTATTTCCTTTTTGAGGGTGTTCCAAGCCCCTGATCTGACAATTCTCCCAGTACTAATTCCGTTAGTGACCATTCTAATCACGAACACTTGCATCATTGGCTATATAAAAGGGGTCGATAAAAGAGTAATTAATACAATTCTTAAATTAAAAAACGCAAAAAACAAACATCGTTACACAATGGAAATAAGACTATTACATATGATTATGACAATATGATGACAATTTTGATGCCAATGAAAAGTTGGTTTCCGTAACAATGTATAATTTGTATTTTCTAAACCGTATAAAATTGTGATTATTTTGTATATAAATACGTCCAACTTTTAATGCACATGGGGGGTGTCACCCACATGTTATTATACACCAAAACACCAAAACTATACACAATACACCAAAACACTTTTACTTTTACACTGGACGCGCATTTCGCTAACCATGTTAGCATCATCAGCAGATGATTATAAACTCTAAAAAAAAATAGTTTATAATCATCTGCTGATAATATGGTGCTCAGCTGCGTCAAAAATAAAATGTTTAGTATTATTGATTAGTGTTTTTTATTTTGCTGTGTAACACCAAGTTCAACCCTCAACTGTAATCTTCGATGATTTTAGGTCCAGGATGCAGAAAATCTCCATAAATGTTCCATTTGTGGCACAAACACCCTATATCACACTTGCGACGACACCAGGGAAATTCCGCCCAGCTGAATGAACGACAGTTGTTTGCTTGTGCACACTGTGATAAAGAAATATACAGAAAACGAAAATTAAAATTCCCACCTTGACGCTAAGCATATTGATTTGGTCGTTATTATTGTTACCCCCATTTTCAGACACCAAATAGCGCTTTTACATAATCCGCCAAAGATATATTATTAATTTTATTTGGTGGATAACAGAAAAACGTGTATCTTCACCTATAGATAGTGTTACGTACTATTTATAACAATTTTAATAACTACCAACATTTATTCACAACGTAAAATAAAACAACATATTATTGAGTCTACCCCACGCTTTGAATAAGAAGACTAAGGAAGGAGCATATCAAAAATCTTAGGTACACCGCGATGGGCCTCAAATATGGCCGACTTAAATTCCGGTTTATCAGTGTCGTTCTAATTTTATTTAAAAAATGTAAAACTATGATGTAGGGTAGACGTGGGGTAGACCCAATATTTTTTTTTATTTTACGTTGTGAATAAATGTTGGTAGTTATTAAAATTGTTATAAAAATATAAAATTCAAATAAAAATAGATAAGTTATAATAATTATTTATAACCATAAACATCCGATACGCTACTGAAGCAGGTAAGTCAAATTGACGTATCTAAATTCTTTGACATCTAATTTTTGACAAGTAGTAAATAAAAGCAAAAATGCAAGAAAAAATATATAATTAGTTAATTTAAGTGAATTTCATAAATGATCGGTTTACTACACGTATGTATATTATATAGTCATTTACTAGCGAAAAGTTGTTCCATTATTTCACTCGATTTTTGCTGAGATCTACCGCACCCTACACAACCAACTATTTTAGTGTCTTTTTCGATAAATCGCGATAGTGTCACTGTTAATTTAAGTTCTGCCACAATTTCCATCTAGATTTACTACCTTCATACAACTATCAGTAGTAGAATAAATAATAAATAACATAAAATAAGCTCCGTAAAGACTGACAAATCCACAAAATTTCAAATCAAATTCAAATGTGTCAAAGAATCGTCAAACAAGACATCAAGGATTCCCACCCTAGAGATACTTTTTATGGCGCTTTCTCCGCCCACCCCTGCATGAATACATGGATAACATTATCTCCTTCCTTAGTCTTCTTATTCCAAGACCCACGTCTACTCTACATTGTCATAGTTTTACACTTTTTAAATATAAAAATAAAATTAGAACAGCACTCTTCTTATTCCAAGAACAGCACTGATAAACCGGAATTTAAGTCATGACCATATTTAGGTCCCATCGCAGTGGATCTAACATTTTTGATACGCAGCTCCCTTCCATATCTTTTTATTAGTTCTAAACCAAATTATACGTGTGATTATTTTTGAAATACGTGCAACTGTTAGCACTGGAGCCTAAAAGTAGGTCCTCGAGAAAGACAAACCTATTGAACGTCTGGTAAGTTCAATAAAGAAGGTTGCGAAAATGGCATGTCATTGATGTTGAGATATTTTTTAATGCTAAACTTTATTGCGTTGATTTATCCACGTAAGTATATACCGGGTGTTGCATCGTCGGACAGGTTTGGAAATCCCATATAAATTTTAATGGGGTCAATTATCCCAGCTTCCCTAATTATTTTAGAGAATAATTTATTTAGGTTTTATTGAAGAGCTAAGACAGAAAGCTAAAACCTACATTGAAAAGAATAACTTTAGATATTTTTGAAATCACCCTGTATGTATGATTCAGTACTAAATTTTTTAACAAAAACATTTTGTTAATGATAATTATAATAGTGTAGGGTATGTGATATTATATGTTTGAGGAACCTTGTTTTATAGAGTTACAAGACTGTTATTTAAATATTTTTTCATTTTATTAATACTTATATATATTCTTTTGTTAGATCGAAAAAATCTCAGAAAAAAGTCTATAAATGTGCCATATGTGACTTTCGAACGCTACATAGGAGAAGTCTTCAAAATCACAAGAAAACTCATTTGGCACCGGAAGCCCGACAGTTGTTTGAATGTACACACTGTGATAAGAAATATACATCGAGACAAGGCTTACGTCATCACATTGAGGATAATCATATTGATTCCAGGTAAATTTATTTTCGTGTAGCCTCCCGCATACCGGGTGTTGCATCGTCGGACGGGACATAGGAAATCCCATGTAAATTTTAATAAGTCCAGTGTCAAGCTTCCCTAATTATTTTGAGAATAATTCTATTTGCATTTATTGAAGAGCACTAAAACCCATATTCAAAGAATAACTCTTTAATTCAGAAGCCTTCTAATGTATCTCCAAAACCATTTTTATTTATTTATTTGCCTCTTATATTTTTATCGTAATCGACCAGATTTCGATATATAAAGCGACCCTGTATATTCTTTTGATGTTAGATCGAAAGCAGCTGAGATAAAAGTTCTTCTATGCGCCATATGTGGCTATCAAACGCTAGATAAGCCCAATTTTTACAGACACGAGAAAATTCACATGGCACCGGAAGACCGACAGTTGTTTGCATGTGAACACTGTGATAAGAAATATAGAAAGAAACAAGCCTTACAAGATCACCTTGAGAAGAAACATATTGATGCCAGGTAAATTTATATTCGTGTAGCTAGGGTGTTTCAAAATAAAAAAAAAATAATTTTTTTTTATGGTGTTGACCATAAGTAAAATAGGTAGGGGTAAATACGTGAGATTATATGCTTGAAGAACCGTGTTTTATAGAGTTACAGGACTGTAATATTTAAATATTCTTTTATTAGATCGAAAGAAGCCGAGAAAAAAGTCTATAAATGTGCCATATGTCGCATTAAAAAATATATGGCTAAAAAGGTGGGTTTATAGGGGCGAATTTTGAAACACTTTATATGAAAAATATTTTGTACGATTACTAGACTGTAGTATTTAAATATTCTGTTATTAGATCTCGGGGGGCCCCAGGGGCGCTATTCTGTACAATCGTCGGTATCGGTAAGTTACCGACAGCTCTCGATATGTATTTCTATATAGTAAAAATGTGTTAATTGTTGTTGTCATAGTTACCTATCGGCCCTATGACAGATACCGACGAGCGACGAGGATCGGTATCTCTACCGTGCCCTTGTTAATCTCACGGTAGAGATACCGATAATTGTCGGTACAAATTTGCTATATGTCCTATTAATGACAGCTAAAACTATGACAACAACAATCAGCACGACGCTCATTGGCTGTACGTACCGATAGCTGTCGGTAACTTACCGATACCGACGATTGTACAGAATAGCGCCCCAGGTAAATTTATTTTGTGTAATACATGGATCATATACAGTGTCACAGATAAAGTCTGAATGCTTTATTCATTTTCTCATTCACTATTCACATAATTTAAGACGCACCCTGTATATATTAAATAGAATTCCATGACTAAGTGGGAAAAGGGGGTCCACTTGACGTGATCTTACTCAGTTTTAAATATGAGTATTATTTTTCTAATACCCTAAATTTAAGGTCGCTGTTTTAAAACTTCAAAATATTCAAAATAATGGCACTTATCAAAAAAACTTATTGAAATATTGCCATTGGAACAAAAATGTCCAGGCACATATTTCGTCATTTTAATTGTTTATTGTTTCCAGAAATGCCGATTGTACATCTTCAACTGATGAAGTGATATTAGATGCTTTAAAAATCGAAATTGATGATCTCGCTTCGCCTTTGGATGACTCTAAGTATGTTTTTTAAGTGTATTTTTACTAATTTAGTGATAATAATGTAACTCATTAATTAGAAATTCTGAATGTTTATCTGTAACTTGACTAATGAAATAAAAATCAGAAGATTTTATAAAAACAGAACCTGAAGATGTCGCTCCGATTATGAAGACAGAGGTGCACGATGACTTTAAGTATGTTTTTTAAAAGTATTTTTATTAATGGATACGGCCATTGTGTTTTAAATATTTTCTTATTGTTTCCAGTAATAGCGAAAATGAATCTGCCACTCGAAATGTGAAGCTAGAAGATTTTATAAAAATGGAACCTGACGATGACGTCTGACTTTTGTGGATAAAGATACGCATTTGTAGAAAAAGAAAATATTCATAACACATTACAACCAAACAGAAGATTTTATAAAAACAGAACATGAAGATGTTGCTCCGATGTTTATTTCTCCGATCTAAGTATGTTTTTTAAATGTACACTCAGATGCAAATAAAAACGCAACAGAGAAATTTTTGGTCAAATTTAAAGTGTTGTATTTTTGTTATTTTTAGCCCTATTTTCATGAATTTTGTAGCAAGCTGCATAATATAATTATATCAACTTTAATTCGTAAACCTAGCTTTTTATTATGGAGTGTAGAGGTCGCAACCTCTACACTCCATACTTTTTATAAACTTTAGTATTTGGCATATTATACAGGGTTAATCGAGTGGTTGTTTTTTTTACCTTAACTTTAAAACATCCTGTGCAGTAATTTTGTGTGTTTATTGCAATATTTTCCTAAATTATAATTTTACGCTCAGAACCATGACTCCTGAGCATTTTGTTTTTTGATTCATGTCAATACATGCTTTGGTTAATTTTTAAGAGCGAAATGAACTGATAACGATCAATTTACAATTTTTTTTAATTATCATTACATTCTGAAGTAATTTTTTAATATGACGAGATGGTTTTGGCCGGGAATCTGAATCCAATTATATCTTCCTTCACCATAAAGTCAAGAAAATCTTGGAAAATGAAAAAATAAATATATGGGCATGGATAGGGGTAGAAGATAAAATATTAAGATATTTGTAGCAGCTGCCAAATTATTTTGGTTTTTTTAAATAGCTACTCGCTACGGTGAGAACAACAATTATTACTTTATATTATTTTTTAACCTCTTATTGTTACATTTTCCTAAGATTTTAAATGAGTATTAATTAATTATTATTAAACTCTTCAAAAAATTGATGTTTATTTTAATATTTCAGGTGGATAATAATAATACAGAATAATTGATTCAAAAAATCAAGAATCGTGTGTCAAAATATCGATTTTCTGAAGAATCGATTTAAGTCAACATCCCTAAAGTAAAGTGTCACCACAGTATACCTAATCTGTGGTGTCACTGCCGTCTGCCGCCGATCAACTGTCAATTCAAAAGTCAATGGCTGCTAGCTGGAAGCTGGAAAAACTGCAAATAGTGTAAATACATATATTTTTTTAATTTTTACACCTACAAAAAGGTTGTATTAAATGTTTGTCCTTAACTTAGGTCAATCCATATCTATATAAGGTAATAAAGTGCTAATATACGATGTTTTTACTTAATCTGTATAGAAAATTTTACGTTTTTAGTGTCTGTTATATCGACTGGAACCGTAAATACTATAGATTCTATATTACTTATTACTTAGGTAGGTATTATACAAAAGGTATTATTAAATATAAATGACGACACTTGTCTGAATATGTATTAAACGAATTAGGTTTAATAAGTGATAACATCTCTGTATTTGGTCTTCTCCAAGATACCTCCTTACAAATTTTAATTTATCGTGCTGGATTTATATCTGAACTGATCTCGGGTTATTTTTTTTCTTTCAGCTACTGCTCTTTTTCTATTGGAAATGATGGATAACATAGACGAAGTAATAGAGTTAAAACCGTAAGTTGAATGTAAAGTAGTTCTTTATTAGATCCCAGTTTACAATACCTGTGACAATACAAGGTATTTATCAGATATTCTCTTTCCTTGTCTAAGGTCAGATATAACTCCCTTCAAATTTGGTGTTTTGTTTATATCACTCGAAAGGCATACACTTAAAAGTATTTAATCAAAACAAATTTGAGGATTAGCAAAATGTTTATTTTAATCTGGATTTTTGCCGTTGAGGCGCTGCGGTCGGTTGCATTTTATTTATAGTTTTTTGCTAGTGCAGTTATTCAAGGTGACCAACTTTCTAGAATATAAAATCGGGACATTTTAACGAAAATCTTGAAAAAAGATAAATAGTACTTTATTTTCTAATTTGTCTTAATACATACGAGTACATACATCTACTCTACATTCAGGTTAGGCCTTAACTTTTTTAAAATGATTATCGAATTCGATAAAAAAACGCTAAAAAGGTGTAGTGGACCTGTTTATTTCCCTATAAAACGTAAGTCCTGGATCTTTCTTATCATTGCGCCTTTTACACTTGAAAGCTGAACAAATTACCATTGTAATAAAGTTTAAACAAAGTTCACTACACACAACCAACTATTAAAAATCGCTAAAATTGTCGCTGAAGATTCATTTGTTATGTCCAAAAAAATGGCGTCTAAAGGTCACAAATTTTTCTGCAGCCCGTATATGGCCGTTACATGTCCTTATATTCTTTAGTCATTGATTCAGAACCAAAAAAACTCTTCTTGTGCGTGGGAATCCCGAAATCTTTGACACCTGTCGGCCGAGATGAATATTGCTTTCCTATTTTGTCGTAAGATGGCATGGCGGCAATTTAGTGAGGTTTTTGAAACCGAATCTTAAAATTCAGAAATCTTAGTTCCGGTCTGGTCCGCCCGAGAGCGCAAGAAACGGACAATCGGACAATCGGACAATTTAATTTGCAGTGTTGTCACTGTTTTTCAAAATTCTTTGAATTCGTGACAACTGGTACAAATAAGAACACAAACGGGACATTCCGGGACGCATTTTTATTTCTGTACGACTTATCGAAAAATGGAACCTGTCCCTGCTAAATCGGGACGGTTGGTCACCTTGAATTATTGAAACTATAAAACACTCAGGTTTGTGTGATGTAACGCTGTTTCGTGTAGTAAAAAATAAGTGAAAAAGAATTCGAACTAGGCGTCCTGTTGTGTTGTGACAGTTTCAAATGTTAATAAAATAGCAAAAAAAATGTTAATGCGTAAAGCAGAGTGTAATTAGGGTGTTGTTGGATGCAATAACATGCAATAACTCAACTTTCTCAGATACTCAACTCTTCTGAAACAACATTTTATAACTTCATAGTTTCTCACACCGATTTGCTCAATAGCAAAAATGGATTCAAGCAGTTCGACGAAACAAGTGAGTAAACAAAGCGCTCGTTACATGAACAAACAATTAAAT